TTAGTGCTTGGTTATTTGATTGCATCAGTGCGTGAACAATAAAGTACAGAGACGACTGGGATGCGACGTCGTGTTCGGCTATGTGTGGAACCGATGCGTTATCCGCTCTGGAACGCTGGCTCCGGTCGTTGGCAACGGTGGACCGTCAAAGCAGTGCCATACATCCACGTTGCAGTCATGTTTCAATCGACAAAGGCAGTTTGGTTCTCTCGTGCATTGAGCTTGTGATTTATGCGCAACGACTGCATCAATATACTACTCGCCGCATCGACGCCGTCGGTTGGGTCCCTTCTATTGCTAGAAGAAGAGAAGATGAGGCGGGACAAAGACGCGAAAGTGGCACCAGAGGACGGACTGGAACAGTACACGTAGCAAGCGAACGTCGCGGGTTCTCAGCTGGAAGCATCGCCAGCCGTGGCGTGGCTGTCGCTGTTTCAGTCGCGGGTTGTGCCGGCTCCGAAAGAAAGTGAAGTCGCTTCCTGGTGGCTTGTAGGAAAGGGCAATTTCAAACGACCCAATCAGGGCGCGCCAATTTGCGGCCGTACAAGCCACCGCGATAGCATATTCCCTTGGCCACGGCTCGGAAGCAGACAGACATTGCAGCATAGGAACGCCGTCGCTGCACAGGTCGCTGCACTATCATGGTGCTTACAGGACCAGCAGCCACACTCGGTTCGGCCAGCCAGCGTGCGGGTAATCCAGGTCGTCGCACCAGGCGGCCAATCAAACGCGACCTCGGGATGTCGCACCTTTGTGTTCCTATCGTATCGAGCGCCAGAAGCAGATTGGCCCAGAATGACAGACACGGACGCAGCGACGACTCTCCCGTCGCTTGAGGACCTCAAGATGATCAACGAGATCGCCGAGCTCCTCGATGATGCGGGCTTGGCTTCCGCATCGCCAACGCCGTCCGTCAAGAGTGACGACGCGCCGGCGGCCAAGATCGTCAAGACACAGCACTATTACCGCAAGCGGCAAAAGGACGAACGCCAGTACCTCCACGACCAAGTCAAGGAGCTGAGCTCCAAGCTGTCTGTGCTCACGACCATGAAGACGCTCGAAGTCGATCAGTGCTCGCACTGGGAAAAGGTCGCCCGCACGCAGAAGCTTGGGTCGCAAAAGGCGGCGCTGGAGAACGCGCGGCTCAAACGCGCTCTCGAGGACCAGCTCAAGCTCGCCGAGGCCCTCGACCAGCTCCTCGTGAAACGCCCTCGCCTTGCCGTAAGGACGTCTTGGCTATAAGCTGCATTTCTTATCCGATGGATAGACGTTTCCGACCATGGACGTGATCGACTGGAAGCTGCGCAAGCTGCCAATGGAGCCCAGTGCGCGCGAGACGAGCTTCCACGCGATGTTGAATGACGCGTACGACCACGTCGACACGAATTTTCTCCAAAAGGGACTGTACGACTCGATGGACCACCTCCGGTCGCTTGACGTGTCGGCCAACGAGACGGACGATGCGATCGTCATTGACGTCCAGAGCGTCCGCCAGATCGCGAGCAACTATTTAACGTGCAGCCAAAACTTTTGGTCGCTCTTGAGCGAGCACGAGTACCTCAACCTCCCCAACGCCCACCTCCAAGTACGTACCGCGAAGCTTTGTACAGACTGGGCGCGACACGACTTTCTTTGTGACTAGGTGCTCGAGCATTTTGGCTCCGACGGCATCTACTTTCGGCATCGCGCCCTCATGCCGCAGAAGAACCCGTACTCGCAGCTCCTCTGGGGCGTCAAGCGCTTCTACGAGAAGAATCGCGTTGTACTCGTCTTCAAGACGGTGCTCGAGGACCAGCGGTACCCGCCGGTGCCCGGCCTGTACATTGGCAACCACACGGCCGCGTACGTCCATCGTTTTTGAAAAGAAGAGGCGCTGAGACGAAGAATGACATAGGATCATCATTGAAGCGGTCGACGAAATGTGGACCTGCCGACGCATGCATATGCTCGGCCAGCTGCCTGTCGAGCCGCCCAAGCAAAGCCCGCTCTCATCGAACCCGAGCCACTTGATCTGCGACTTTATCTTGCACCAAATATCGCCGACGTTTGACGCGATCGAGAGCTTGATCGTTTAAGAAGCACCGAATATTTCGCTTTCTTATTGTGAACTCGTGGCTTCACTGACATATCTACACTTACTTCACATACGCAAAGCCACCTTGCCATATCCAAGCTGCGCGGTATGGCGTCTGCAAGTTGCACGGAGGACGAGACGGTTGGCGCAGCTCCTTGCGCAAGAAGCAACATTACAGCCTCCTAAAGGAAGTTTCAATCAATTGACAAGGCTTTTAGGCGCTCACTAAGATCATCCACGCAAGTCGGTGCCGAACGCGGTTGGCTGAACCTCGCTGGCTCTGCCCGCTAACTACATGTATCTATCGTTTCTCAATCAATCGATTCGATAGAGCCGGCGGTGATGCACATGCATTTCCACCATCGTGCGTGGCTTCAGCGCCATGAGCCACCGCAATATCCATGGCTGATTTCTTCTTCTTCGTTCTCTCGACCTTTCTCTGCGCCCTCCGGCTGCCACGTTATGCGAATATCCGCCACCTGCATTGGCCAGAAGGCTCCATTTTTAGCCAATCCACGACGACATGACCGACGATAGCAACGACAGCTCGCCGCTCGCACCCGTGTCGGACGACGAGCCCTCGATCGACGCCGCCATTGTGG